TTAGCCTCCGGACGATTAAGAGATTCACCTATTGCAAAGACAACCTTTCTTTTGTTGTAGACTGAATGTTGACCGCTGGCGCTACTTAAAAAGGGTAAAAGGAATTACCAAAACACTTTAATGTTTCTTTTTTATTTGGGTCGTTGGATTACTGTCTCATTGATTTATGATACGCCACATCTACAGTACTTTTTGTTCATGTCCGTGGTATTTTTAAACATGTTGTAATTTCTTCACTCATATATATATTCTGAAATATTATTAAGCGTTAAGTTAAATTTTTCCTTACTTACATGTAGTAGACTTTTAGTTTCCCGATTTTTTAAAATATCTAAAAACTCAATGTCTTTTGTTTTGATTTATTAATAATCAAACAATATTTGAAAATGTATCCGCATTCAATTCCTTTAAGTAAGGAAGTTCAGACGAGTATTTTGAAAAATGATTAATAATATTTCCCTCTTATCTTTTATGTGTTTTACATTTTTTATAATATCAGATATATTTCTTTGGAAAATTGTCATGTACGTGTTTGACCAATGACCAGTTACAGATGTCTTGATGTTTAGTTTTCCACTAAAAAAATGGAAAGAGTCAGAACATTTTTTTTTGTTTTTCGACACTTACAATCAAATTATTTTTTTCAAAATTTAACACTATAAGGTATGGGGAAAATCTGGATTCAAAATATTTTTTTTTGTCATCTGCTTGACCACAATATTTTTTTTTCATCAAATTGGGGATCGGAATATTTTTTTAGGACAAAAAACATTTACCCCCTCCCCCTTGAAGTTAAATGATCGTTCCCTAAAATAAGTGTAGATTTAATTTTATCTAGGCTATGTTATGCTCCGATACAACAATTTAACATTCAAATGTCCATGTAATTTGAGGACATATATGCAAAGATAACATGCAACATAAATTTTAGTACGTAAAAACGTACTGACAGACATTTCGTAACAAAATCACTTTTTAAAAACCTATACAACCGGTTTATTTTACAATAGCCTCATTACAATACAGTGTTTTCGTGGAAAAGCATAGAGGCTGCTGACGGGCTCTGTCTATTTATATTACAATATTGCTCGTGATCTAGTACTTCTTAAATTCGATATCTCCTTTTAAAGTAGAAAAACGCGAAGTCATATTAGCTCAATCATAACATATTTTTCAACATCTTTTTACAATAAGATACAATGGTAATGTGTATTTTTAAATATATTGTACCAGCAATACCAAACATTGTAGTATTACCCTGTAATTGACATATTAAAAGCTTATTTGACAAGTAAAGTACAAACATGTTTATATATGTGTACCTGTAAGAAACCAGTTTTGTTAGCTTAGATTTAATTTTGCAAAAAAAAAAAAAAAAATGAAAATTATATTAAAAAATCATATTGTTCCAGCCTTTCTATTTATATGTTATTATTGATGTGTATGAAAAACATATTTTATTTTGAGTTGTCATTTTGTATCACAAAATGAAAGGGGTATGCCGGGATACCTAAAAGGTCTAATGTCTTTAAATGATATTTTTGTGTCGTTGGGCTACTGTATAATAAAAGTTTGCATCACACGTATTTTTTACTTTATTTATAGATATTTGTTGGCATAATTGTTATGTACGTATTAGACCCATGACAAGTCTCAGATGTCTTGATGTTAGTGTTCCACTTAAGTACTTGACACTCATAGGTTAGACTAGTCTTTTAAGTTTTAGTTCAGCAATTTTTCAAATAAACATTAAAACTACGTTTCAGTCTTACTCCACTGCACTCCTAGGGCATCGTATATGCACACATATAAAAGCACTATAGTTTAATAAAAACTTAATGATCCTCGCAATTAGCCATTACGTGATTAAATTACATACTTTATTTTTTATTTTTCAAACTACTAGAGCATCATGGACAAGAAAATTTAACAATTCTTACAGGTTTGATAGACGAGGGTCTGGATAGGGGGTCCTAAATTTCTGTATTCTTTAAATTTTAAGGGCGTTTTTTCTTTATCTTTAAGAATAATGCTTACTCTGTAAAATTTTCATGTAAAGGATATTACTAATGAAAGTTCTTGTAATTTAATGATTTCTTTATTCTGTACATCGTTCATTTCTATAATCGGTATTTCATTACTTAATTCTTTTATTTTCCACTGTTATTCTATATACTTTTGCGCCCCATTAATCTCTTTTCTTTATATATTTGCTAATTTTTCTCTATTCATTATTTATTTTGGTCATTATTCTCTTTTCTATAAACCAACCCAGACCCTCATCCATTCGAACAAAAGAATGAATTGATGTTACTATTTCAAATGGAATATATATAAATTTACTACAAAATTAAGCTATTGGTTTGTAGAATGTGTTTTACAAATCTTGCTAATCAACTAGTTTCCGTTAAAGATGCCTGCCTTTTTTTTATTATTAATTGTGAAAAAGGCATATGCACCTTCAAGTATTTGTGCTCAAGTTCATAACTAAATATTTTGTATTCCTCTCTTGTTGTACCCTTTTATTTCTGTAATAAACAACTGCTTATAGTATACATGTATATCTGAGTTGTGCTGGCTTTGCTTATAAAAATATAAATTCTCGAAAAAAATGAAAATTAGTTTAAAAAATATATTTCAAAGAGACATAAAACCAACGACACATAAACTAAACGACATCTAAAGATTTACCATTGGTCAATACACATTTCAAGCCCTCTAACTTTCCTCATCTAGGAGACTATATGCATACCTATATTGACCTCCATTTTATGTCATGGAGTTGACGTAAATTCACATACCAATGGACTTACCAAAAAAATCGGTGAATTAAATACATACATTTGAAAAGCAATTAAATTTAAAACCCGAGAAATATAATATCCTGAAACATTTTTAATCATAATAAGTTACTTTAGTATTATGGAGTCAACTATAAGTAAAAATGTCTCCAAATTCTAGAAATTATAAAATTTTTAAAGCAACGAGCATTTTCCCCGAAAACGACTTTGTTTTAAGTTATGTTAAAGGGGCATTAGCTGTCAATTCATATAAAAATAAGTAGATGTTCACCGACTTGACTCAAATTATCGTATTTGATTAATAACATACTAAAACGTAAAACCTATATCCAAATATAAAAAATCTTAAATAAATCATTTACGATGCATGGACTCGATGAAATGTATCAGCATTTTGTGTGTATTTTAGTCTAGACGCTATCTAATTAACCATGGAGGTGACCTCTGAAGACTGCCGACGGTCATATAAACCGATATAAACACAAATCTTGATATAAATAGATAGCGAACACGTGCAATTGGATTTTTTTAGGTTGTTTGATTTCATATTTTAGGTTAAACAAATATGTTTATCATCGTTTTTACCTGTATAAGAATGAGTTTTTGTGGATCGAATCAGTCAACCAAATAGTTTACCCTTGTTTCACTTTCAATGTTGACATTCGTTTGCTTATAATAGCTGAACACGCCTAGTACATCTAGCTGAGGGGTTGAATTGAAGGTCACATGAATATGGATTCAAAGAGGTCAAATTATTTACTTGCAAGTGAATCATTCATCAGCAATGTTTCATAGCTTATTTTGACAAAATTGAACCAAACTGGCTGCTTAAAAGCGAATTATTATTTCACTATTTCACTTTCATTAATGAATGAACAAAAAAACAACATATTTTGTTTTATCTTTTTATATCTCGTAGCTAATGCCCCTTTAAACAACAATGAAAGATACATTTGTTATGTTGATGTACTACCATATGTAATTTGTTTCGCTCTAAAATTAAATATTAAAAATCATCTTCTTCGAACTTAGATATGTGATATTTATTCCGCGTTGCATTGTTGCTTTAACGGTCATAACTTGGATGATAATGTTTCACTATTCTAAGAATTAAAGCTGTAAATTATGAAAATATCTTTCAGTTTCTAAGTAAAGAAGATTTGTATATCGTGGTTGATTTAATAAACGAGGTCACGTGTATGTATAGTTATAGGCTTCATAACGAGTGAGAATTAGATATCGCTTGATATCAACTCGGGTTATTCAATTCAATATAAGAATAAGCGAGCCTTTGGCGAGTTTATCATTACTATTTAAATTGAATAACGAGAATCTATGTTTAGGAGGCCACCAACTAATTTGTGAAAACTTGTGTAAGATGATAGCAAATTGAATTTGTTTTAATAAAAAAAAAATAGTGTGTGTGTGTAGATAAATCAGAAACAAAACAAAATAAAGAAAATATTTAATCGAAAGAAAACAAAACAAAACAAAATATATTCATCGATGATTTTTTTTTATACGCGGGCGCATACATGTTTATGAAATAATTTGCTGTTTCTTTTAAACTGAAAATCATATGATTATTTCTCTTACTATTTACCTTTGCTTACTGAGCTCATATCATACATCACCGCTAAGCAATACACTGAGCATAAAAAACTACCTTATAAAAAAAAAATGACAATTAATTTATTTTCTTTATGAAGTTGATTTTCAATTGTTTTAAAAGCAATTTATTTCACTGTATAAACAATTATCTCTGGCATGCAAAACCTACACCTGGTTGCAAGCTTTAAGAAATTGTATCTACGTTGTTCTGGTTGACTGCCTTGGAACTGCCTCGAGATTCACAAACTAAAGAGGGAATATGTGCACAGCAGAATACACATTTTCCGCACGAAAACAGATGAAATACAAACTATAGTATGACATTGCTCTTACACCCTGCATCAATCTCAGTGAAGAATGTATCTTTATTTTGGAAAATATTTTAATATGACAGCCTTATAAGTAGTTTTAAATATGTCTGTAATAAAGTGTTAATGTTTTCAAATTGTTAAAATTTATAAAAAAAAAACTTTTAGACAGAAATTAGGCTAAGTTTGAAATCGATTATTTATCAATACGCATGTCTTTGAAATTCTATCTCACACATTAACAAAAATACAAACAGAACAAAAGAAACAATCTACTTACCGGTTTCTGTCCCTCTTGAATTTTGAATGTTCCCTTGGTATCTTCCGCCTCTGTTTTACACAAAAAATAAACGTCTTTCTCATATTGAGCTTTAAGTAATACTGTGAAGAAGTTGTCAACCAGGAAGTATATATATATAGAAAGGGTACCTGATTTTTTGAAGGACGATTATTTAAATAGAAGCTTTTGTTCACAGTAAATATATGAAATTTAATATGCTAGCATCAGGAAGTTATGTTGTCTTCTGTCTCGAAGATACACGCACTGAAATCGTAATGGTATATTTAAATAAGTAAAGACTTAAGTTTTTGGTTTATAATAAGTATTAAAACAACTGTCACGACTTTTAATTTGTCTAAAACAGCGTGTCGATAAGAAAATGTGCAAATACATTTTTCGTATAGCGAACAGAATTTATAGGACATAAAAATATAAAACAGTTGATTTAGATTTAGTGAAAAAAGATCGTGCAAATGTTTTCATCAGCAGCGTTGAAATATCATTTTATATAAATATAGAATAAGTGAAATAATAAGAAAAAGTTTCTCTAAGTTTAGGCAATTATATTTTTCACCAAAATCGTCCCCTGAAAAGATGCCTAACTGTTTCATGAAAACCAGGCATCTCGTCTGATGTTCACAATTGCAATGCATGGCATGTCTCAATAATATAATGTGAGGGTCTATAGAGCAAGATTCCCTGGGTAACAGTATAAACAAAACTCTTTTACCCCAAAGCATTAAGCTGTGACGCTTGCTTCTTGATGTTTTGTTTTGGTTAATGCCTATGTATAGTAAAAAATCTCAAAATGTTACGCAGCAATAATTCAACGTATATTGGTCAATTACCACGTTGAAACTTACAACTACATATAGTATTGAATATCATAAGATAGGTCACACTATGTACCTGTGTGCAGATAATAATCTATCATTTAAAGATGGGTTATATTTCTTGCATATAATTAACTTAAAGGTAAAATATTGACAATATAATGGCTGCACAAATTTAAAACATGAAATGTGATATTATGTTTCATCAAAACTAACTTACAAAGTTATTGATTTTTGTTTGAGTGACGTCCAGTGGCAACTATTTTATGCATCTTTAGGACGAGAACAAATTAACAATTAACACAGTAGGTAGGTCCTACAATAAGGGTCGACCGGAATAAATGGCAGAAAAGTTGGAATGCAACTAGAAAATGAAAGTTTATGGGATATGGACTAAAATTAAGCCTGGGGCCAACTACGGGCTCCTCAAACAGTTGTTTCAAGTCCTTAAACGTGCAATTTTCTTCATAATTTATCCCCATTCTGACCGGATGTGGCTGCAAATTTATACATTCCACACAGCCAAACGGGCACCCAACCATGGCAAGGGTTTTACTGCCGGTCAGAAGAGGGCTAAGGGATAAAAAAAATTCTATACTCTAGTCAAACCTTAACTTGCAGAGTAGACGTTTTCTAGCGCAGGAGATACAGCAGTTTGAGTACCATTTGAATTATTGGATACTCACTTAGCATCTAAACGCATCTTTTCGATTTTCTCTTTCGAACTCCCAACCACGTATCCATACTGTAAGCCAAATTAGAGCTTGCTTTACGATAAAGATTTAGGGTATACCCCTATTGAATTGGTTTAATTGACGATTGTTAGGGAAAAAAACCAGTAGAATATACTAGTATTAAGAGACATAAAGAAATCATACTTCTAATAAAAACAGATATCTATTTTATTAGCTTCAACCTTGACGAATGCTATTTGGGTCTTTTCATCTAACAAATCAACGTAGGTCTAAATTCGATCAATTGGCTTCGTTCCAAAACTGATATATTTTTTTTTTTAAAGTAAGCCTTATTTATTTACACCTCAATTGTGAAATTGATCAAAACAAGCCATCATGCATCTTAGTAGCTTCCTGATTGACAGGTTGACTAAGTGATATTTGCATGATTTCAATCTTTTAAGTCAATATTTAAACAAATAAATACATACTTGATCAAGCAAACGACACAGATTGATATATCTAAGCTGAATTATTAATGAAGAAAACGATTTAACTGCCTTTCCATATAGATTACTTGAAGCAGCAGTTGTCAACAGAAACCAAACCTATTTCTAGACCTTAAAAACTGAGCATAGTTATGTGCATGTCCAAATCAACCACGTAAATGCTTGTCTTTGTTATATTTCACTTTGCTTATGTTGTTGTTTTGTTTGACTGATGTTAACATCTTTTGATCAAACAAAATACTAGACAAAGTTTTGTTCTGTTTTGATGCAATCAGAACTGTACGGAAAGTAACATGCTTTCATGTTCTGATAGTATCAGATGCTAATTACATGTTTCTTCCTGATCAGGATGACACGTGACCATGTCTGATTTTTATCACGCTGCACTATTCACGAACTTATGTTTACTGCATAAAGTATTCGTATTCGTTTACCGTCGAAGTATGAGGGTACGTGTATTTGAAATATGCACATATTTTCCATAACATGCAAGGTGATTTTTTCAAAAGATTTGTTTTTCTTTTTGACCGTTTAAATAACTTTAGATGAAATCACGTGCTACTGGTAACCTAATTCTTTAAATTGTTTCCCTTTCGTTTTTCTGAAAGTGACATATTATTTAGTGTTATTTTCTTGTTTCAAATTAAATTATCAGTATACAATGAATATAATACTAATGTTGCAGCTCCACAAGGTGACAATTTGAAAGATGATTTACGCCGTTCAGTATAGGTTTATTTTGGTTTATATATGCTAGCTCTCAACCCTTTTACGTATCTGCCATTACTTTTAGTCTCGTGTTTACAGGATGAAGCTGGTCATTCCATAAACTCGTTTCATTCATACTGAATCGATATCAAACGTTTTATCATCTAATTTAGTATAACTGACACAAAATTGTATGTTATCGAAAGACATCTTAAATAAATCATCATATTGCGTAATAGTTATAATAATATCTGTGTGAATTTTAATTTCCTTCATATCATTGTTGTTTATCAAATTGATCTGAAACTGCATGGATTTTTTTTAATAAGCTTTTTGATACTTTCCTGGTAAATGACATGCAATTTCAATCAAAATATTGCATCATGATTGTAAATACTCACCGACTATCAACAATACAGTTTAATACTGACGATTTCAATTACATTTCATGATGAGACTTCACAACACCTTCATAGTGTTGTTTCTGATCTTTGGTTTTGTTTCCTTGCGTGATAATATTCAACCAGCAGCTGTGGGAACTGTAGCTAGCTTCATGGAAGCGAGCATATTTTACCCTGCTTTCCAAACTATGCTTTCCCATGTGTCGTTTATTTCCTTATTCATATTTCTGGCCATCCTGTTGGTATCTTTACTGTGTAGGCTTTTTATGGTACGTGTGTTTTATTTTTACGACATATGGTCTACATAGGGAAAGGTGAGGTTTTGGAGGTTTGAAAAAATGAAAAATAAGTTTTTTTTTGAATAATAAATGTTTTTTTAAAATATACTTATTTGTCAAAAGTAAATATTTACATATAATTGAAACAATACAGTCTGAATAAATATAAAGTAAATAAATACCCGTCTACAAGGAACAGAAAGTGTGAACTGAGCAATTTAAAAATCTGGTTGTGCATTTTTGTCAATTTGGCTGAATATTAAATTTTCTTGCACAATGTTTAAGATTCAGTGAACTTGAAAAATCTTACTTTGAATTTTCAAAATCTAGCGTAACATTGTTTAATTATGTTTTGTTTCTTATATCAATACATCGATACTAATAGGAAAATAACAAAGTATTTTTGTAATTATCAGTTGATAAATTAATAAATAATTAAGAAACAAAGGTTCTACTTCCCTCAGGCAACGTTGTCCTTTACAAAGAGTTATTTTTTATATCAAGCTGTATTAAATTAGGCGATGTGGTACGGTTGCCAATAAGACAACTATCTACCTGATTCCAAATAACGTGGATCGATTCAAGCAATTATAGTATAGCATACAGTCGTCTACAATAAGTTAAATCTGCACCGTATTGTTATCTATAAAAGGCCCCGACGTGACAAAATAGGACACAATTAAAAATTAAAAAAAAACGACCTGATTGATGACAAAATTATAGATGAAAAACAAATATGGCAGACACCAACCAACAAATAATCAGTTACTGGATCCTGACTCGGGACCTATAGTTGCTTACTTCCACGTCATTTGAACTCTGATGGATAGTTGTTTCATTGGCAATTTTACCACATCACCTTATTTTTACATTGAGCTGAAATTACGGTTTTAACTTCCCAGTACAAAGTTGACCTTAGACGATTTGACTATTAAGTTTAGGCCCCTTTTTTTTGACTTTGTGTTCTTTGGCTTCCCAAGCATCGATTGTAATTTTAGAGACAATTATCGATCCTACTGAAATAGCCTAAGGTATCATATTAATTTTTGTAATATATTTTTTCATGTCGTACTTATTTTCTTGTCTCCGTATTCTGTGTTGATTTGAATTATCATTGATATGGGGACAATTATAAATTAACTGTTTACAAAACTTTGAATTTTTCGAAAAACTAAGGATTTTCTACTCCAGGAATAGTTTACTTTAGCTGTATTTGGCAAAACCAGTCGGAAGTTCTCAATGCTCCTCAACTTCGTACTTTATTTGGCCTTTTTAACTTTTTTAATTCGAGCGTCACTGATTCGTCTTTCGTAGACAAAACGCCCGTCTGGCGTAAAATATTTTAAGCCTGGTATCTCTGATGAGTTTATCTACACGCAAAATTTTCAGAATCTTAAATTTGTAGACAGCTATTGTCCGATTTCTGTTATTTCAAAAAAAGCGGCTATTAAATTCCATTCACAAATTTTGATTTTGCAAAAATCTGAAATTTAGTATTACATGAAATTAATTGTATACATATATTTTTAGAATTGTAGAGTTTTGAGACATCTCTAAGCAAGCTGAAATAATGTGATGTGTATAGTTTCGGGATACGGTATTCAAGTTTCATTCATGTGTATTGCAATAAGGATATACTTTTGACTGCTGATTACTAAGTCTCCCAAACGAAGTTTGGGAAGACTTATTGTTTTTGCTCAGTTATTATTATTCTTCTTCTTCTTCTTCTTCTTCTTCTTCT